TAGAAAGTCTGAACTTTTTGGCAGTTCATATACAAACTTGATCTCCCTAAGATACTTGGGTATGGTGCAATAGTACCCCTGCCTAGATCAAGGCATTCTTGCTTTTTACATTAGTGATTTCTAACATCTGCCCTAGGTAAGAGAAGAACATGCAAAAGCTGAAAGTCAGCTTCTGAGTGTCACATTATGAGCATATTTAGTGATACACCTAAATTATCAACATTAATATAAAAGTTGTGATATCTTTATTAATAATACGTAAAAGCCAAAGAAAATTGTAAAGACTAGCTTTTCTACATGCTACTTTTGCAATCAAGAGGACCATAATCAGGGCATATATCAGGTTTTCAAAGAGTTTTCATTATATTTAACAGGGGCCTTTCTTTTTCTTAGACAAACATTTGTAAGAACATACTAAATGTCTATGTGGTACCCCATAAAATCTTATTTTCTGGGTGTGTGATTATGGTTGGAGTAGTGAGGGGCTGAGATGATACAGTATCTTTTAGGTATTAATGGCATGACAAATTCAAGCAAAATCTTAAATGTTTAGGGGACAGACTGAGATCACTGAGACTGTAGTGCTTGATTTGCACAGTGTGAAATGCTCACTTGGAAAATTCTAATTTCAGAAATTCTCAGTGAAACCCTTCTCTCAACCCAAAATTAAAATTCTCCTTTTCAAGGATAGTTATTAGATTGAAATTTAAAATATTGATAATATATAGAGATTTACTAGCCTACAACTGAGCATGTCATTTTTTGTACTGGGTCTTTGCTATCTGCAGCACAGAGTGTGTGCTATGGCTCTCGCTCCAGCATGGACCAGCCTCATCTGCAGGTCATGGACTATGCAAGCCCCTCCTGTGTGTATGGAGTGGGACACTTGGGAGGGGAGATTGGGTGCCAGTCACCCTGTCCTTTTGTCTCTGCAAAGCCACTGTGCTGAGCAGGAACCGTGGGGAGGCCAACCAGTATAGAAGGGGCAAGCAGAGCTTCAGAAATTTACATGGCATTCAGAATCCACTGAATATCCAGGTAAATTCCTAAAAAGTGAGGGGAGCAGTCACTATTGAAAGCAGTGTTTTCATGGGTGGTCTCTTATGTAAGACACAATACAGGATAAATAAGGTTTTGAGTCCTTCCGCTTGTTTGATGTTAATCTTGATCTCCTTGTGAGTTTTGGGACTTTGAAGACCAGAGAAAGGTCTAGTTTTGTGGACAACTTTACCTTCAAGCTTCACAAAACTAAACAGTGTGGTTATGAGTTTTTCACAGTGTAGTTATGAGTTTTGGTTTTGGTTTTACCTCTATGTAGAGGCAGAATAGGATCAGTGGTAGACCCAGGGAAACAACGTCACTTGACTATGATTCTGCTTCAACCAGGACAGGTCTCAGGCTGGTGGGAGAGGGAAAACCAGCCCATTTCTCCAGAAACAGCTCTGTTGCAATTACTTTTTGTTCCTCTCTGTAGGGAGCGCTTCACTCCTGCACGGTTTTGATGAATGGAGACAAGAGATCTCTGAAGGCTGCTCTTAGAATATAAGGTTATTAGGGATGGTGAAAGGTCTTGCTTGGAGCTGCCAGATGCAGCACGTGGCAAGGCCTGAGGGGATGGGGGAGGGGAGAGACAAGGGGTAGAGAGGATGCTCTAGGAGAGGGTGGAAGGTTTGAGAGGGGGCAGTTCCAAGAGGAGGGGAGTTCCAAGAGGGGAGAAGTTCCAAGAGGGCGTCTGGCCCCTCAGAGACCCCTTATTAGGGAGCTTCAAGGTGGGCTGGAACAAGACTTGGGCCAATGTGGTCACAGACACTTGATGCTTCAGGGTAGGGTTACAGGTGTGGGATGAACCATACATTTTGGGGGGTGAGATGGAACAGTCCATTTGACTTTTGGACCTGTCTGTAGGTAAGGGCATTGTCCAGCCAGTAGGGGGGATTGTTTTCATCCTGGCTGTACTATTGTAAATCTTTTGCCAGGCAATTATATTTATCCATCCTTTCCAACACCTCTCTTCCCTTGCTGGGGCAAACACCCTATCCTTGTAATCTCGCCTAAACTGATTTGGTTCTGGTCAAAGTGTAGCTGGCTTGGATTTAACAGGACAGTCAAATGCAAAAGTTAGAGAAAGGGCTAAGTGTCTTCAATTGAAAAACAGGTTAAAAGGTTGTTGCATGACCATATGCAAATATACCTTGTATGTGAATGCTTTCTGGCTCAGTCCAGGTATGTGCCGGATGCCTTGTGCTCAGAGAAGATTTACTATCCTGGATGAGGAATTGACTTTTAAATCTATTTTATTAGACATAATCACTCTGTCTTTGCTGTTTGAATAGCTAAATAGAGGGGAGATCTCAATACTTTGCCATAGCCTGAAAGAGCCACAGTTCACTCAGTAGGTTTAGCTGCCAAAGGGATTGTTTAAGCAAGGGAAGTGTGTTGGTAGAAGACGACTTTGCTTCAGTTTTGCATATACTTGTTTTTGTAAAAATGTCTGCTATAACCCTTTTACAGTCAATGATAGTGGATGTAGTCAAGTTAGATGTAGAAGTTTTTCTAACGTGTAGTTGTTTGGGGTTTTGTTTCTCTTTTAATTGATCTGGGTAACACTGTCCAAATAAACACAATTGTAAATGCTTAAGTGATAGATTTGTCTCATTCTCATATTCTGAATATGACATTTCTGTGTTCATTGTGATAAAACTCAAAAGGAAGTGACAGTCTGCTAGGAAGGTAATTTGAGAAATTAATCAGAGTGACTTGATAAGCTTGTAGGTGATAGGATGACAGCCAGTTTCAGTTTTTATAAATACCTATTTTGATAATGATACAAAGGAGAAAATACAAAGAAAACTTTCCAAATAATTTATAAAACAAATACAATTTTCATTGAACTGTCTTGCAAAGAAGATGAAGGAAATACAGTGGAATATTTTGCAAAGCAATAAACATTACAATGAAGTTCTTGTTTTCAGCAGTATTGGTGTTGTAGAGTTTCTTGCAATTCCCCATACAAATTGTCAAAAGGTAGTAGCATATTCTAGGGAATGACAGTGCTTAAGAGTATGCTATGTCAGTATACATTTTCTCTTTTTCATTTGAAAATATTCCTAGTATTTTCTCCAACTTGTTTTGTTACTCTTTTTCTCACAAGGTACCTGATTTGGTTTTGAACTCTGTATTTTCTATTAAAATGTGATGTTTGTTTCTTTCTAACACTGAATTTAGCATGATTTGTGCATGGGATATATAAATATTCTGATACTGTTAATGTATTTGAACTGATGCAGTTTTATGAAAAGGTTTGTGTGTCTTAATTATTTCTTAAAAGCTGTATATATATATATATATATATATATATATATATATACACAGTAGTAATTAAACCAAAACAATACATGTAAAATGTTGCTATATATATTAGTAAATGTGATTGCACAATCATAGAGTGGTTTGGGTTGGAAGGGACCTTTAGGGTCATCCAGTTTCATCCTCCTGCAGTGAGCAGAGACCCTTTCAACTAGATCAGGTTGCTCAAACTCCATCCAACCTGACCTTGAGCACTTCCAGGGATGGCATAATAGATAAGTGGGTGATCCCACTTTCTTATGTTTGGAATTAAGTTACGATATTTGCTATTAAAAAATTAAATACTTTAGAAACATAAGAAAAAAAATTAAAATAAGTAAAAAAATTCAGTATAAATTAAAAATTTTCAGGTGTTGTAATTTTGACAAGTACAAGGTCATACAAAACCATGGTAATTGTATTTAAAGCTTATTGTATTTCATTTGCTGACACATTGAGATAAAATGCTAAAAATACCTTTCATGGACGTATAATGCATTAAAAACCATTATTTTAAATGTGCATGCCAATTAAAAATGATTGAGAAATCTGTTATAAAAACCTGTCTCTTCAGTATGTGGTTTTGTCTGCAGTTTAGCATATTAATTTCATCCAGCTAAAAATAGCCCTGAATTTGGGCCGCTCCTTTTGGCAAAAGTATTCTTGTTGTCTTGGGACAGGAGGAAATGGCAACCACAATGAGTTCATGTGCCACTTCAAGCAGTCCAAATTTTCTTCTGAGTAGAGCCAGCATTTAATTTGTATCTCTCTCCAGGCCAAAGATCGTGTGGGTATTGGTCCTCTTGCCCTTACAGTGGTAATCCATTTTCCATTAACTGGACTTTGGTTCAAAAATACTGCATGTTTAATCCAGTGGACTGGATCTCCACTACCCAGTGCTGTAACAGAAAGATAATGGGCTACAAGAGAGATTAATAAGATTTTTGAGTTGCAAAAGCATTGAGCCAGTTTAAAGCTATTGGTTAAGCTGCTCAGAACTGGTAATGTATTAATCTTGAGCTGTGGTGTATGAGCGCAGCCACTGCTGGCATGCATTACAACATCTACACGGTCACCTTGTGCTTAGCTCTTTTTCAGACAGAGTTAGCAATAACACTCTCCTAAGTCATAAGGTGTATTTCCAGGAGGTGGGTTAACAAAGCATATGCAGTGATTCTCAGTAGCAGGTGTCCGGTTTTACCTGCTTTATGGATACCAGCGCTACAAATCTGGGATGGCTGGGTATTTCTTCTGCTGGAGACCAACCTGTCTCAGTTTGGACTCTTGAGCCTGCTATGATCCTCCTTCTTTTGGTGGATTTGACTGACTTCCAGTGCTGTAAGAACTGCAAAAGCCTCACTTAGTGGTGGCTGTGAACCTTAGCTTGAATATTCCCATGCTGCTTCTGCGCTTCATTTCGTGTGTTAGTGCAGTTAACTAACCCCAGGTGAAAATATTTCTCCAATCTGTTTAATTGGAATTAAGATCTTCTAGTCCGGAACTGGCATGTCATTTAGAAATTTGTTTATTGGTTATTTCCTTCTAAGGTTTGGAAAATGACAATGTTGCTTGTTTCTTTTTGTTTGTTTTTTTTTTTCTCATTCTTTTTGAACCCTTGTTTTCTATGTGTGTGTTTTATTTTTTCCTCTGCCTAGACCTGGTTAACCATTTCTGTGAACAGGTCCTCAATTTTTTACTTTGTCCCTACTTTCCTGTCGTAGCCCCATCTTCCCCTGGTGTCGACTCCGTACCCTTACAGCGCACAGGCAGTCAACACGGCACACAGAACGCAACCGCGACCTTCCAGAGGGCCAGCTATGCTGCCGGCCCCGCCTCCAATTACGCAGACCCCTACCGACAGCTGCAGTATTGTCCTTCTGTTGAATCACCATACAGCAAATCTGGGCCAGCCATCCCACCCGAAGGGACCTTGGCTAGGTCACCTTCCATTGATAGCATTCAGAAAGACCCCAGGTGGGTGAAACCTTCTTCATTGTTTTTTATTTCCTGCTTGCACTGAGGTTTGTAATTAAGGTTTGCTTTGCGTGTTTCTGCTGTTGGATATAAAAAGAAAAAAAACACCTGTGGTGGTACATGGAAGACTTTGTTTGCATGACAGCATTGTCCTAATGCTTCACCTTGGAAAGCTCTCATGAGCTGTTCTGTGCAATGAAATCATAGGTGTGGCCTTGATTGTGTGTATGTTTAGCCTGCTTTCAGTAGTGCCACCTCTCAAAAGCTTAAGAATGGTAATTTTCTCTGGAAATGGGAGGAACAGAGTGACTGTTGACTCTCTAGCCATTGTGCATTGAATTTTCAAATTGCTTTTTGGGCAGAAGTTGTTGCAGTTCTTGGTTTGTCTACATGCAATGTTTATAAATGCTGCGGAAAAGGATATTTCGGTGTTGTGCAGTGAGACTGAGCAATGTGAAAGCAACATGTAACCAGGGTTGTGTTTCATCCTATGTGTTGTATGGGCTTGCAGTGCCCGTATGTGGTAACAGAATGTGTGATTACAGCTTTGCAGAACTGGTTATTTCTGTGCATGCTTTTCAAATATTTAGTACAATTTTTAAGATTGCTAGTGACCATCCTAACCTGCTTAGGGAAGGTGCAAGGAGGAGACTTTACAGACCAAGCAGGCACATAGATTAGAGAGAGAATTTTCTGGGAAATTATTTGACTTCCGTGATAACAGCAACAGAAATGCTAGCTGGAATCCTCAGCGCATTTTGTGATTCTGTTCAGTTTTCTGAGGGAAAAGGAATCAATTCTCTTTGGTAACTTGAGTTTAAACTTGTTGAAAGTGTTAGTTGATACCAATGTTTTTCTTTGGTAGATGCTGTGATTTATTTATTTGTTAGTTCGTTGTAATGTGTAATTTCATGATAGGAGAGTCCAAAACTTTGCCTGCAACAAAAATGCTGGAGGTCTTTAAGGAATAATTTGAAGAAGCTTCATTTCCAAAGTTAACAAAAAAATTTAATTCATAAACTGATTCTTGACTTTAGCATTATAGCAGTTCTTTCTCCACCCAGGAATAGAACAGCAGATAACATTTAACAGCACATCAGAAGCATCACTGCTTTCAGGATTTCACTTGTTGAGAACACTTCGGTCTTCAAGCTTTTTTTTTTTTTTTGTTCCTGTTAGCTTTAACTGCAGAAATTTGAAAAAAAAAAATCTATTTCATTGGTCCCCTTCTTCCCCCTGTGCCAAGCAAATATTAGTAATGAGAGGGGAAAAGTATTTTTCTGAAACGGTGGTATTACATTTCTGTTCCAGAATATAAGAGCCCATGTAGAAAAAAGAGCTTTGCTTTGTAATTGTGTTACATTGAAAGTTATAGAAAGTTACATTAGGAGTGCACTAGATCAGCTGAGAAATGACTGTAATCTATATGAAATGTTCGTAGAAGAAGCATGATGGTGTTGAAAATGCTATTCCCTATAAACAGGAAAGACATATTTACAGTATCTCTACAGGTCTTAGACATAATATCTTTTTAAGAAAATGTTATTCCTGTTCAATTCCTTTGCTATCACTTTGCTACTTTTAATGTGTAGGATATATGTTAGTATTTTGCATTTGCTTCTTTTTTGTTCTTTCTTTGTAGTGCCATTTGTACATTCGTGAGTATTGATTTCTGTAGGTAAAATAGGATCGAGGAGACATCTAAGTATAAAATGAACTTTGTAAACTCTTTAGAGGGGTTCATTAAATATTACTACTGATTACTGTCCGAACGATTGGAAATTTGTGCAAAACTTCTGTAAATAGATTTGCATTACTCTTGATTTCATTTATTTGATCCATAGGCTGTGTGTGGTATATATTAGTATTTCCACCCTTGCATTTTGGTTTGAATATTTCTGATAAAGAAATGTCATAAACACACTTGATTATCTTATGCCTTAATCCCCAGAAACCATACTCCACTGAGGCAGACTGACTTATAAAACCATCTGTGGCCTACAGCAGTTACTGATCATTCAGCTATTGGAAAGACATTGAACATTTGAAAAGAGTTTGGAGAAAAGCAACAAAAGCGATCAGAATGCTTTTAACATGTTGATTTATATGAATAGATTACAAAAATGCCAATATATTACAAGTGTGGAAGTAATAAAATGAAAGACTTTCCAGATACTTCAAAAAATAATATGGAAGGATAGAAATTACTTTGGGTAGAATGTGGGAGATACAACCAGGAAAAGGAAAACAAGCCAAATGCAATGTAGGCTTTCAGTGACTGTGTTGAGTTGTGCTGTATGCCTCAGAGGGTTACCAGTTACATCTTAGACAGCAAGAAAAAAGTACACAGGTTCATCAGCAGCTGCATTTTATCAAATGAGAAGTCATAAGTGTCCTTACAGACACACTGCTTCTTTTGTTAGCTGATTGGTTGGAGTGTTTTATGACTGTCACAAATTGTAGAGGGCAATAGTAGGCATCATTTTCAGACACCAAACCTACCTGCCTAACTGGAGGTCCAAAAAAATACTCAGTGGCAGAGGAAAATCAGTAAGACAACAGCACACTATTTGCAGGCTTTTGATTAGTATTTCCTATATACGTCATTCAGTTCAAGATGAAAAAGTAGCTATCCAGAAGATATTTTACTCACCCTAATAAGCAATTGGCATTCCTAAAATTGGACATAATATTCTGGAATCATCAATTCAGACAATTTCTGTCTGGAGGCCCAGAAAAATGGTTGGCAGGCACTGATGTAATTGACTTTTTTTCCCATTGTTTTCACTGCGTAGTTTGTCTTACTGATACTCTTAACTTTAAATACGTGTTCTGAGCTGACATTTGGCAAATGAAATATTAGCTCAACATCTGTTCTGCATCATCCAGCTGTCATAAAATGCAGTTCAATGTTCATTAACTTAAATTTTAGGACAAAAACTTTAAAAATAAATGGGATTAAGATGTTTACAATCAAGTTTGTGGCAGGGAATAATTTTTAATTTACGCAGGTAGACTGTTAGTTCATAGGAGCTTATAGACAGGTAGTAAAAACTTTACATATCTATACTGTTGGAGAGTGAGGCTTTGTTGTTTAAAAAGGAAATAAGTCCCACATTACTGTCAGAAATAATACTGAAGTTCTGCATATGGGAAATGGAAAAGTTCATATCATTACAGACTGATTTTTCAGAGCATTCTTTTATGTTTACTCCATTAAAAAAAAATAAAGGAAAATAAATATTCACTAGGGCTGTGATATCAACTGTTTCTCTTATATTAAGGTGTGGTATAAGGAGGGAAAGAGCATAATATTTATTTTAAAATTGTTTGGTTTCTTCTGAACTGTGAATGGGAGAAGTCTTGAGTATTTTAAAGTATCAGAATTACATGTTAATGTGATATTTTCCAGCCTATTTTCATGAAGGAAAATTAATGTGTCTGTTGGCACCAGCAAATTATCTGTGGCTTGTGTATATTTATTATTATTGTTATTATTTTGTTATTATTTTTTTCTTCAGTTTTATTTTGTCTGTTTCTAAATTTTAGGTTAACTGGGGAATTCTAGAAAGAAATGTTGGGCGCCAGTTGTCAGTATGTGTGCCTTCCAGATTTTATTCCAAATTCTGAACTTGCCAAATGTGTATAAATTACTTAATTTTTGAAGTTTTAACCTAGTAAGAAACCCTGTACATGTACCGCTGCAGCTAAGTTACATTTGCTACACAACAGATGCAAAATAGAACTTTTTCATATCCTCCATTTAAATACATACCGATGAGGTTTTGTGGTTGCAGTGTTTTTTCTGGGTTATGAACTCAAACTGTGTGATTTGATATGTCCAGTCACCAGGTGTTCTTCATTGTTTTGTGACTTCCCACCTGTTTTTATTTACACACATATACACAGGTCATCTCCTGCAAAGAAGCTGGCAAAAAGCTGAAGTAACAACAAGAATTATGTGGAATACACTCCACCATGGGTACCAAAGTGATGTTCAGAGCTCACTGTCCATTTTCATATTGCCTTCAATTGTATTGATCTGTGCTTAAAACTTTCCATTATGGCTTTACTTTCCATGTGTTTCAGAACCTTTAGAACTATTTATTCAGAAAAAGTGGGATAATTTGGTGAATGAAACTGTAAAAGGGCCATTATTCATTGTAGAACAGACTGCAATACTAATTGGGCTCTTGTTTAAAAAGAAAAAAACATTATCATTAGAGAATCATGTTGCAACTTCTTAAGAAAAAAAAGAAATAAAACCCAGTTATCTTGTACCAGTTCTCACCTTTAGAACGGTCTGGGTGTAAGTCAGCAAAGGGACAAAAGTTTTCCAGGAAATGCATGATTTAACTGTAATGTCCTGAAACGTTTCTGGTCAGTTTTGCATTTTCAGAATCAAGTTCTCATTTCATTGCCTCTGCTGCTCTTAATTTCCTCCTAAGCAGAAAGCAGTAGTGCTGTCTGTCTCCTAAACTTTCAAACTGGCTTTCTTTTCACTTATGAGAGGATATTAATTAGATCAGAACATTTTGTGTGAACTGTAAGTTTCAAAACTCATCATTTTTCTCTCTTTTTTTTTTTTCCCAGAAATATATTTCATTTGCAATACAAGGTAGAAAGCATTCTTTTTCTGTAGGAAAAATGATAGAAGTAAAATAAACTCTAGTTTAATTTCTGTGCTCATGTAAAACTGCTTATGAGATTAGCACACAGAGTTTGGAGCATGGCCTATTAAATGTTTCTGCAGGAGTCTTCTCCAAATACTTAATCTCACTTTGTTAAAGGATTGTCTCGGTATTAATAGTGTTAGTCTGCTGTAAGTCTGAATAGCAGCCAGGCACTCTTAGAGTCTAAAGAATTAGGAACATAACAGTGTAATCCTGCATGGGTGGGACATTGCTGGGAATGTTTCTGGTTGTTCTTTGGGAAGGGTTGTCGCCTTCAGAAAGAAACTTCTGGTGAGATGGAAGGCATTGCTGTGACTGTGGTATAGC